CTGAAGTAGGAGTTCGCAAATCAAGGGAGGAACGGTAGAAACAGCTCCTGCACAGCCCTACCTCCCAATTAGCACGTCTTTTTCAGAGGTCTTGGAGAAGTCTCTGCTTAAGCAAGTTTTTACAGCAGGAAAATCTCACTGGTATTAAACAAATTAACACAAGAAAGTAAAGGTCAAGAAGATCATGAAAGACTCCCTTTTTGTTCCCTGTAGGTAACACCACACATTTGCTTTTTCTAATAATAGCAGCCTAGATGCTCTTTAAAAAAAAGTCCATTAGCAATTAAATGTGCAGTGTCATCTATAAAGGCTAAAGGCTCGCTTTTCTTTCCTGTCACTTTATGACAACCTAACCTTCACATCTTTACTTGTATTAGAGTACTCATCTATAGCTACTGCACTGTACCCATGCTGGTCAGTACCACGTATTCTTTGTCGAAGTGTAATTGTTCTGCTCCTAAACTTTCACTTCTAAGCCCCATGAAAAAAAGAAAAGAAGAAAAGAAATGAGCTTTTGGAGGCAATGACCCATCATAAGCCTGAACACCTGCTTTACAGCTTCTGAAACGCCTCACAGCAAGACTTGGAACGCCTCCTGGAAGCTGGTCCTCCCTTCTGCTGATCCCATCCTCGAGCTGTAGGGAGCTCAGGGACCGATGGGGACTGGATAAATGAAGAACATGGGCCAGCCAAGCTCTTTTGAGGAGCTCCCCCTCAGCTGCCCTCCGCTGCTTCCTCCCAGCAGGCAAAGAGGATGCCACACAGCACACCATGTCCCAGGCTGCCAGACCCCATCTTCTCCACAAATCTGGCACCTATCCCACAGACCTGTACAAACAAAGTGGACGTTTAGGAAGCACGTCTCAGCTGCTCTTCTGAGTACCTGGCACCCAAATCACACGCTGAAGACCCCAGCCCTTTCAAAGCAAGCAGCATGACAAACAATCCTGCCAGGGAGGCTTGGCTCCAGCAGCTGCTTATTCAAACTTTTAAGTGCTCAAGGTCCACCTACAATCAGTGCTAAAGATCACTGTTTCAGGAAGATGTACAGAAACTAGGACCAGTGACAGCCACTGTGCTGAAGCCTGCATGACTGTTTTCTGTGGGTAGGAACTACATGCTTAGCTATTAAGCTTTAAGAGCTTAGGGGTGGGGAATCACTACACCCCTAATAATGCAGTGTTTCCAGGCACAAGAATACCTCTGATGTGCAGCACAGAAATCCTGTAAAGCAGGGGACTTGGATAACACCACCAAGGCGGCTCTTCAGCTCCCTCGGTGAAACCAGCCTTCAGTGCAACTGTCACAATTACACATTTAATGAGTAAGGACCATACCTTCAATTATGCCATCTAGCACAAGCTGCTTACAGACCACACCTAAGGAAATTAAAGTCCTCACACAAAAAAAACCCAAACAACCAACCAAAAACAGAAAAGAAAAAGAAAAGGCTGATTGCACAGCTTAACCTCTCAAATTATTCCTTCATAGTTTAGGAATCTACAGTACTTCATGTACCAAATTAGAGGCTGGCAAGAACAAGTGTTATTCAGGTAGCCTTAAAAGAGCTAACTTGAGTTTAAACAGTATGTTAAAGATTAGGAGGCAGTTCTATCCTGAGTCATTTGTTTCCAGTGTACATGCCATTAGCCGAAACCAGTAAGAGAATGAGGTTCTGATGACCTGAATATGAATCACTGAGTTTCTCATTCTGCTAAGCAGTTCCTTTCTTTGTTGGCTGAGTCAAAAGAGATGAAGTTGCTGCTTATGATCTTGGAAGATTCACATTAAAAAAACCAACAAACCAACAATGAATGTTAAAATACCACCAACACAACATAGCTGCAAGTAGCTTTAAAGCAGTAAGTACTCTGCACTTTAATCAGATGCTCAAGATAACTCCAAGTGCTTCACAGGGAGTCGGCCAGACGCTTGTATAGCAATTGTTGAATATTCAGCAACAGTTTGCTCTATAGAAGCACCTGCTGCCCAAAGATCCAAGGCCACTTCACAGAAACTAATGAATTCCCTTCCTCGAAAGAGGCAATTGTGTGGCTGCATTGAAGCCAGATGAGTAAGCACAGGCTGCCTTTGCACAGACATCCCAAACAGAAGGAGCCAGAAGACAGCGATTCCCATGGATTCCTTCTGATCTTTGTGGGGCAGGAAAGCAGCGTCAGCATTAGGTGGGTATGGGAATACAGCTCTGCCTTGCCCTGCAGTGACCTGGCTGGGCTTTCCCAGGTTGGAAGCAATCCCTAAAATCTGCACATAAAGCAGCTGAAAGCTAGTAACTTGGCTGACAGACAGGCTACATGACATGCCTACATCAATACATTCATGCTGAAGAGCAAGCCTAGTTAAAATTCGCTCCCATCACAACCAAATCACTAGCACCCCTGACATTTAGACAGCCTCCCAGTATTCCAGAGGAGACAGGGAAGAAAAGAGGATCCAAGTCTCCCACCACTGGACAATTTGATTAGCAAGAGCTGGAACCATCACACACGACCAGAAACAAGAAATCCCACATGCACGTCAGCCATGGCATTTCCCTCACCAGGATCATGCTCCTGACCTGCACCCGTCCGACAAGCTGAATCTGCTAGCTGTGGGACAGATGCAAGTCTGAGTCCCTGCATCCTCCCCATCCAATTTCTTCCCAGCAAAAGTGCAGGAAAAGTCAC